AAAAACTTTGTATCCTTTGCGTTATTCCAGACAGGAAACGGAGATAGATTGTTTCAAATTGTTGTTTTAGCTAGATCCGTTTATCAGTTTGAGAGACACCTGCTTACATACATCCATCTATTTTAATTTTCGCATATTTATAATAAGAAATTTTATGTATATAAACGATAACAAAGAATAATCATCATCATCACCAGCTCACTATACGTCCCCACCGAGGGGCTCGGAGCCTACCCTAATATGGGGTGACTAGGCCTTAGTCAACCACGCTGGCCCACTGCGGGTTGGTTGACTTCACACATATCTTTGAATTTCTTCGCCGATATGTGCAGGTTGCATCACGATGTTTTCCTTCACCGTAAGAACGTCGGGTAAATTATGTACATATGAAAATTCGAAAAATCGAAAATCACATTGGTACACGACGGGATTCGAACCCAAGACCTGTAGATTACAAGTCAAGTGTTCAAACCACTGAGCCACCGACGCTCACAAAGAATAATGATTAATCATAATTATTAAACTTTTCAGTGACTATGTAGTTTAATATTATTTTTAATTTATAAATTCCAATTTAATTTAATTTAAATATTATTATTTTTTTCAGTATTTTGTAAGTATTGAATACACATTATTTATACTATTCTTACAATAAAATTATTGAAAATTGTAATTATTGGAAATTAGAATCGTATAATAAAATTAACTACCTTTTCAGACACGAGTAAGTATTAGTTAATCTAATGAAGATTACTAGTCGTCATCTTTTACATAGTTTTGAGTCGAAATATAATGTGAGTAAACAAAACACTATTTTAACTTCGATCATATATTTAAATGTATGTTATTTAAGTGAAAAACCGTAGAATCTCTTAAGGAAATCGTGGGAATGGTGAATAACAGTGGTAGAGCCGGCTTTAACATCTTCGCACGAATAGGTCGGCTCGCTCGGTGTAATACCACGACAACACAGAAAACAGGCGTGAAGTGGAAGCAATTCCGCGTTTCGTCTGATGAGTGTGGTGCCGGAGACCTAATTTTAGTCCCTTTCCCTTTCCACCCTGTTCTTAACAGGAAAGGATGGGAATGAAAAATGGTTTTGATGGTGGATAAGACACATAGAAAGGGAAAATGTCATCTTTATGTTCGTCTCCTCCTCCGTCAATCAAGGGTAGGCAACGCATCTGCAATTGCAGATGTTTATGGGCAGCGGACGCTTTCCATTTCGGTGGATTCAGGTGGCCGCTTGCTCGTTTGCCACCTTATATTATAAAAAAATATCTGAAATCAAATATGTACTTAATAGAATAACATATTTTTTCTCTATATTGTCTCCAGCCTGCAACGGTAAGTAGAATTTCCTTTAGTTTTTCCATTTGTTAGTCTGCCTTACAAAATATTTATTAAAAATTTTCTGTTTTTTTTTTACAGAAAGTAAGTGTTTTGTTTTATTTTATTCTTTATTGATTTCGGCATAAAATCAAAACCTAATTAATTTGTGAAATGTGTTTGCAGGTTGGCGTAAGTATAATGCAACTAAAATTTAAGTAAAACTGAACTTACCCAGTTTTTTAATTAATCTTATTTTTAACTTACCAAAATGTGAATTATGTTTGACATATTTCATATCTAATATCTTGTTTCATTTAAATTCACATTCGTATAATTATATTATAGGTTAATTTTTGATTATTTTGTCTTCACTATTACAGTGCATGTGCATCACACGAGGACCTTTGCCCAGATTCAAGTTAATTGGAAACATTCACTTTCCCAAAATAAAGGTTTATTCAATATTTTTTTAATACTAGTTGTTAGTAAAAAAATAACCCTTCTAAAGCTGTTTACTAAATCTACAAATAATTTTAAGAGGATGCATTTAAAAGTCTGAATTAAAAACTTGTATAATTTTACAGGTTACACCCGGCACCTACGTGTCTCTACCGACTGAACCAATGTCCACACTATGCCCGCCGTGTGTTTGCCCGTCTTGTCTCAAGAGTTCCGATATGGGGGGATATCCTAATTACTGAAATAAGGATTTATTTATATTTGATTAAGAATCAAGATCTTAATTAGTATATTTGTAAAAATTGTTCAATTAAAAAACAAAAAAGCTTTTGTCACAGTATTCAATTTTTGCTGAATCTACTGCTGCTAAAATGTTTAATAGAAAACGATAAGTTGATCCAAAAAATGCTTTATTTCACCTACAACAATAAAAATGTAGTCTAAATTGCTAAATATATCCTAAAACTTAAATTACAATGAAGTTCTTGAGTCGTGCTGTTTCGTCAATTCTTTGATACATTCAGATTCATTACTGGAAGTGAATACAGATGCATGAGACATGTGTAATAGTTCAACATCTATGTTGTCAGTCATCGATACACCTGGATCTGACGATATACCGTGTTTAGAACGTCTGTGTAACATTGTCAACATATTCTTAACTAAATTATTTTTCGATGTCTTGCTCGATACTTCTGATGACGATGTTGGTTTAGGTTGATTAGAAGTGTAAGAGAATGTATACTTTGAGATATCATCTCCCCCAAGAAACATCATACCTCTTTCTGAAAGAAAATCATCAATAGAGTCATTTGAAAAGCAAGCTTGTGCTCCTTTATCGGTAGACAATGATATTGCTCCTTTCCTTTTATTTCCAGCTGAATGTAAATCATGCCTTTTAGAGATTTTAGGGTCGCTTGTATTCAAACAATCGTAACTATGACATTTGATTTCTTTTTCCGATGAATCGCTACCTTTTTTATCGAATCTTTTGCTCGCTTTATCGCATTGGTAATCAACTTTTTGAACAATGTTCTTAGTAATTCTGTCGCTTTTTAAAATGTTTTGATTTTTATCGGAACGTTCATCTTCAAAGACTACTTTAGCTTCGCTTAATTTTCGTGATGGTCGAGGTACTATTTCATCGTGTTCATTTTTCTCGTCTTTCTTAGCTTCATAGTCTGCGGTTGGTCCTGTATTATAAGTCTGTGCGTTTAATCTCAAAGACATTTCTGGTATTGCTTCAGATTTAGTATACTTGTTATCTATCCAGTCCCGTCTAGTCAAACATTTCGATAGTATGTCATCAGACATACTTACTTTTAAACCGTTTCGATCCTTCTGACAGGATTTGTAACTCTTAATTTTTTTGTCAATATTATTAGATGAATCGCTTACATATTTATATCCCGTAGTCTCAGTATCGGTATTACTAAAAATCAAAGGAGTAGTCATAGATACATCTGTCGTAAAATTATACAATTTACTGACAAGTTTTCTCTTTGAAAAGCATTCGCATTTACTTGAAACGTAAAATATAAGAGCGCATATTAAACAACATTGCATAAAGACCACGGTAATTAAAACTATAATTGTTAATTTATTATTTACCATGTAACTATGTATCTTTTCACAGATGCTGAATTTAGATATATAACTAGTTTCATTTGACGTAAGATTTTCAGATACATTATTAAGGTTTTGTTCTGTTAAATTATTCTTATCATTACCCGATATTGCCAGCGAAACTGTTCCCGCGGAACAATTGCTCGGTTTTTCTAAACTCTTTATGAATTCAATATCTTCATCTACAATAGATCGTCCTCGGACACATGTATTCGATATTGGATCTAAAACTACTTCTGGTAACTCAGATATGAAATTGGAAACACAAACAGGAGTTTGTACACATTGCTTTGCTCTTTTAGACCAATATGGTTTCCTTCCATTATAAAAATTATCGCATTCTACTGGATTACAATTGTTTAAAGGATCTTCATCGATATTGTTACATTTCTTAATATTATAAGGTAGATCCATTGACTGCTTCTTATTCTCTACATAAGTATCAAAATCAATTTTAATTATTTGCCTTTCTAAACGTTTGTGCTCGTTCTTCAATTTTGAATCAAAATTTACAATGCAAAATCCACGTCGTTGATAAGGTCCTAAGATTGGAGCGACGAGCTTTAGTACTTTTTTTGAACCTGTAATGAATTAATAATCTTAGTTTGACAACAGTTTTATTTGATTTAAATCTTCTTCAAACTAAAAAAATAGGAATAATTATTTTAAGTTTGAAGTAAGATCAGGAAGAATTTCATATCGACATTGAATGACCTTTAGCTGAGACAAATATAAAATAGGGCAACACAGAATTTACTAGTAACAAGCTTGGAGAAATTCCCGTGAATGGTAAAATAATTCAAAAGTAAAATTATCTGAGATCTTCGAGGGAACCGCAACCAATCGAAGTTAAACATTTAACTGTAAAGCTTTTTATGTTACCATTTTTAAAATTACCTTTTGGTATGTTCTCTAGGCAGTTGCCCACAATATTAATTGTATCACAGTCCAAATTATAATCAGATTTCAAACAGCACTGTTCAGGTGACAACTGCACCTCGTAATCCCGTTCCGACGTGTTGTTTATAACAACATAAAACTGCAATCCAATAGCGCACGGGGAGACTGACTCAAGACCTGTACCCAACAATTTAAGACCACTCTCTAAAGCGATAATGAATTTAGATAAATAAATATAAATTATAAATAAAATACATTTGTAAAAATTCATCTGTTGTCATTTCAAAACCATATTGAAATGTCAATAGACAATTATCATGCACAGATATTTTAATATGAGTATTCATGGATACTTTTTGGCGTGAACTTTTTGTTTAGGGGTTTCTGTTGATTTTACAAGTTGTTACTACACCCATTTTTGTCAAATATTCCAAGTTTTTTACATGAACTAACTTATTTCTTACTAAGATTATAACTAAATGCGTTTACTTATATGGATGTCTGATGCATGTCTATTACTACGTGTCCCTAGAATGGCGTATTAGGCTGGTTACTATTATCTAATTTCTATAGATTTCATGTTTGTAAAATATTTCATTTTACTACGTAGTTTCGTGAGTACGTACCTACTTATTCTTACAGGGTCTACTATTTTCAATTATGTAAATAAAAAGCTCACAACATATTATAAAAAGATTTATTTGTCGATGGCAAATTTTTCAACATCTTACTTAAATATTCCTTTATCATTTGTCCTTATAAAATAACTGAGCAATTTGCGTACATCACCCGGCACGTTGGTTCGTTAAGAACAAAAGATCTCTTCTTGCCGACGTGCCAATTTATATCAGGCACTGCACTATTATGAATTAAAAGATACATTTCTAAGAACGTAGTTTCAATACCCATATTGAATAAAGTTATGTATTGCAAATTTACATAAAACCACATACTTTAACAATTCTTACGAAAAACTAATTATACATTATTAAATGGTAACTCCTTAAAGTCCATTCGATTCTTTATAACAGTATTTTTAATCGCAGAATCTTTAATATAAAAACATACTGTCATCTCCCTTATTCTATTAAAAAAAAACAGAGACAGCAATAGATTTTCAGCAGTGTAAACTTACATTACAAAAGGAGTATCAAACTTACGTAGAACGATTAAGAAAACATTATATTTGTACATTCTGTAGAATTAATTGATCTAAGTATTAAGGTTACAAAATATACGTCTATATCTACCATTCTCCCAAAATCACACAATACAGATAAGCGTATTAATATAAAATATTTATCAAGTTAAGCCAAATCATATTGATTCAATTCTAACCGTACAAGAGTCTACCGCAACACGCATGATACATCACCGTCCCGTTCATACTCTTTGACAACAAAAGAGACGACAATGTTTCATGGAAGTCGAAATTCACAACAGCAATTTTCAATCAAAAATAACTTTTCATGTACAGTTCCAGATACAGAAGTATTGTTTATATTGAGGTTGTCAAATGTCTTGGCCGCTTGGAGCATAATGTCGCTACACAGAAATAGTAAATGTTAGATAGCTGCGGAAAGAGATGCGGAGGGCTCAGCACAGCATACAACCTTGAGCCGCCAAGATATTTGAAAATAATTATATCACTTTTAGGTTAGGCGATCACATATTTCGCTTTAGCCAGTAAACTTCAAATCTAACCGTTAAATTCTACTGAAACACTTATATTAAAATGTATTCTGCACTTTTTAATCAGAGTTCAATAGTAAAAACCGATTTTCATTGAATTATAACCTAAATCACAAATAGCATTAGCATCGAAAGAGCTTAGCAATCAGTTGTACTAATTATAGTATTAGAAATTTAAATAACGTTCTAACTACACAATTTAAAACTATATTACACGCCTATACTGTATCGTAGTCCTCCCCAAAGTAACCTTAAAACTACAGCTAACAAAATTGAAGAAAACAGATAATGCATAACTTTTAGTTTATAATGCTTTTTGAGTCCAGCTGGGATCGTATCCATTGGGTCTTTTAATAGGTACACTCGAATACCCTTAACATAACTACTGATGTATTCTTTCCAAATTAAATCTTTCAAATTAAAATCGAACATTTGTTTGTCAGCTTCGCAGAGCTCTTTGAAAAGTGACTGCGTATTTTCATTGTGAAATTTCCATTCCCTTAATGCGAAATATCCGATGACGGCGGAGAATTTGTCGATTTTCGTGTAAGCTTTTCTTAACCTGAAATGAAAGAAGGGGCACTTTAAGTCTTTATTTTCGAGGGACATTTTTATTATCATTATAAGCTTGTCTGGTCAATTGAAATCGTCTAAAAATATTCCTTCTTCGTTGTACTGTTTCTTCTAATTGCTCTTTTTTTAATACAATCAATCCATCAATTATGTTTAAATGAAATACTTACATAGGTTTCTTGCCAATAACCACCGCCAACGCGTCAATAATATAGGCAGGTATCCAGTGCAGGAATAAACAGATAAAGCTGTACAAGAACTTGGATGGAGTTATGTAGAAGATGTAGTACCACACGGCTTGCATTGTTGGCACTTCTAGACCGTACACCTCGTTGTATCTCATGAAGTTTTCTATAAAAAAAAAACAATTGCTTTAGTTACATCAGAAATCTGGCAGAACGTAATCAGTCCAACTCTGGATTACCAACTATCCTTTTGAACGTTGTCAAACACGACGTAATCTATACTAACATTAAGAGAAAAGATTTGCATTTTTATATGTTTTGAAATAACTCAAAAAGGTCCGAATTTTAACACCATTAGAAAGCTACGTTATCGCTGAGTAACATACATATACTATATTAGTTGAACGTGGGCGAAGTCATGAGTAATAGCTAGTTTGATTTTCCTATCATGTTAAATACTTACTCCAAGTCAGTGGTTGTTCCACAGAAGATACGTAGTTATAAATCGGTGGGGGCTCGTCGACTGGCGGCGCGTCTTCGTGGTTACCCGGGTAATCGCGCGCTGTCTTCCACGCTGTTGCTATGCACGCATTCACCACCATATCACCAGGAACGAGGTCGGCTACTGCCATTGGATTGCAGTTTAATGCATGTAAAAGTCCTACTGCTGCACCAACGACGACCTAAAAAAATGAAAAAAAAAAACTATTAAGTGAATCTAGGAGACCATTTAACTAGGTAAAGAATAATGGGGAGGTTAAAACGTTCACATCAGTAAAATTATTAATTAGCTTTATCCAGCAATGCGGCCGCGTTAAATAAAAAAAAAATAGTAACATATTCTTCCAGACTATGTTCTACATTCGTGCCAAATTTCATTGAGATCCATTCAGCCGTTCAGGCTGGAAACCATCCAGATCTATTTAAACTTTTACATTTATGTAAAATATTAGTAAGATAATATTCTTACCCCAGTTGGTCCATAGACATTATCTATCCATCCAGCGATGGGCTCTTTAGCTGTTCCAACGACTGGAAAAAAATAAGATTTTTTTAGAGATATAATTCATTAAACAGTTTCTATAACATATTTTAAGTATTGAAGCTTACCGATAGCTGGTCTGAATAAAGCAACAGGTAATCCCTTTGAATATCTCTGCACGATATCTTCTGCGGCTGACTTCGTGTATGCGTATGTGTTTGGGAACTCACCAAGTAAACTGGGAATTAAAACATTCAATATTATGAGATGATGAAATTTTTTGGGGCTTGTGATATTTTACTCTATGGTATCAGTTAGTACTTACCCAGGAGTTATGTTATTGATGGTTTTTTCATCCATACTTTCAACTAGATCGATTAGTTTTTCGCCACTTAATGGACTTTCGTAGAACTTCTCTTCTATTTCTTTCAATGGGCAATTGCTGTAACAAGCAGTATAATTTAATATTACAAAATTCAATGAATTTTTAAATACCATTTGCTTAAGGCAGTGGAAGTGTACTATGCAATAAATGACTGGTCTTTTTGTCGACCCTTGCGGTAACCTCGGTCCGACAAGAGACGTCTAAAATGTAACCATAATTATGATAAAATTCAAGTACCTGTATGCTGTGGAAATATGTACCATAGCTCGCAATTTGGAACAGCCACGAGCCAATGATAATATTTCCCTTGTTCCTCGAACATTGATTTCTACAGCAGTCTTCAGCGCTTCGTCAAATCGTACTGTCGCTGCGCCATGGAAAATGAATTCAACCTGCAAAAGCGATTTACATTTAAAAATAACAATATTCTCATATACATAATACTGATTGAAATCATGACTTGTGTTTTCTTTCAAGTGACTAGTTCCATTCCTGCTATCTATAACTTATTTCATTATCAGTTATTTGCCAAACATCCAATAACGAAGTTTTAGTTTTCTTTAAGGTCAGATGCAAGATTCTAGATCTATGTACAATGTTATTCATTTAGCTTCACATACATCTTTATTTCTTATTTTCTATATAATATATTTTACAAGATTTGTGAAAAATAGAGCACCACCGGCTGCGGAATCCGATGACTCAAGCAACCAGTGGTCAGGGGTGCAGACAGGAACCTCCTCATTATGCGTGCGGTTTCTAAAATAACCGCCTTTTGAATCGGGCCCTTAATCCAGCTGTCTAACGAGAGCTTCTCGAGATGTTGGTAGAAGCTCTTCGCTTTCATTAAGCTTATTGTTAGTAGGTGATTATAAACTCAAGTATGTGGTACCTCATTAAGTAACTTCTGTCTATCTTCATTACTGATGCCAAGATTAATTTGACCGACATCTCCTTCCACGATGCTGATTTTCTCGATGAAATTTGGTTGTTCCTTTCTTAGTTTGTCATAGAGCTGTAAAAAGCAATATTGCATAAGATTTTCTATGAAATTCATAAAGACATTACCTACTTTCGATCACTATTATGTTCAATATTAGCTACTGCACGCGAATTCGCCCGCGTGAAATTAAAAAATATAGCCTATGTTACTCACAGATAAATTACCTTTCTAACGGTGAAAGAATTTTTAAAATCGGCCCAGTAGTTTTTGAGTTATTTCAATACATACAAAAATACAAATCTCTTTATAATATTAATGTAGATTTTTTATTGTAGTTACGATTACTCTCTTCACCTTATGGTCAATTCATATAAAATTTGGGCAAACATTTTTGTATCATTTATAAAAAAATCAATACAAATAAAGTTTAGAGCTGTGTATTTGTTAGCATGTTCTCGAAGACGTGAAAAATCATTTATGTTCCTCGATAAATAACATTTGCTATTCAAATTAACATTGCATTATTGGTAGCTTGTTTATTTATTTTATAACAGGCTAATGTAGGTATCCTAATTTGTCATATTCACCGTTTATGATTGCACAGTTAATCGTCTGTTTGATAAATCAGAAAAATATCACTTACCACATCGTCGAATTGTTCCTGAAGTCTTTTAATTATCTCTTTGTTTTTCTTCGGCCTTGCCAACAAATACAATCTCTTGAGATCCGAGCATGATCTGTAAAAAATTAGGTAATCTGTTTTTTTATTTACTTTTTAAAATAGTTTCCCTGTTACTACTTGTCTGTCTTTACCACTATAATAGTACGTCAAATTAACCTTTAACTTCAGTTTCTTAAAGACATTACAGTTAGAAATGTACACTTAACAATGGTTATTTCTTGTAAAGATAGTATTACGTACATTAGGAGTTTATATTCTATGTAAGTCTTCGGACAACACAATGATTGACATCGGTTTCGTGGTATGGAGTGCTTTGAATGCAGATTGTATGCCTCTTTGCGGCATAAGAGCGGGCGCACACCTTTGGCTAAACTATCGGACAACATATGTGCGTTTGTCGATTATACCCATCCAACTCAACTGTTTAGTTGTACAACTAAAAATTGACTATTGTGCGGATGTCAATATTTATTATATTAATTTATAGTTAAACACCGCCAATTTCCCTGACTGTACATGTTTCAAATGCATCGTTATTTCATTTGCATATAGAACAAAGCAAGTCGCTAATTATTATGTTATAAACAACCAGGTCAAGTTCAAGTCGTTATTACTATGCAAAAGTAACATATAGTTAGTTGGTATATGTTTGTCATGTTATTAAATAACTAATAGTTACTGGGATATATTACAAATGATTTAGTATATTATTGATGAATTCATAGCCTCCGGTTTATTTGTTTTATTAAAGTACTAGCTGTTGCCCGCGACTTCGTCCAAGCAATGCAAAGATAAAAAAGTATCCTACAATATGCCAGACTATGTCAGCTACCCTTCAGTGAAAGTCCTGTCAAAATCGACCCAACTGTTTTGGAGATTACACGGATTAAACGCGATTTGCAGTCAGACAGACAAACAAAAAAAATTAAATGCAATTTTCGTTATCAGCTACGCAAATATCATCTCCCCGAAATCTGGAACTTTTCTTCTGATATTACAAACAGACACTCCAATTTTATAACATGTACAGATAACCAACCACTTTACTGATTTATTGCAATGTTTTCTTTTATTGTGACAGCCTTTACTTAGTTTACGTAACTTAATTGTTATCGCCCTCGATCGTGTACTTATTTACGTTTAAGTGAATAACTTTATTTCCAAGTAAATATGTTACGAAAGGTGAACAACATACAAAGGCCAAAAACATTTAATATTACCACTTTGCGTTAAAGAATTATTTAAAATATTTACATTATGTAAGCCATTATTTACATAAGTGATAAGGAAAACCTTCACCTTGTAGAAGTCTATAAAACCTTGTTATTTATTTTAAACTTTATAAGTTCTAATATCTGTTGATAAAATTAATCGCATGTAATAACAAAATTTCAATTTATTTCAACTTTAGGGATAAATTTCGTAAACAAAAAACACCTTCACATTATACTTAAAATCTTACTAATCTTATTTCTTACTAATATTATAAATGCGAAAGTTTAGACGGATGGATGTTTGTTAGAGTTTGTAGCCTAAGCTGCGGAACGGATCTCGAAGAAATTTGCCATAGATGTAGAGTATAGTCTGGAAGAACACATAAGCTACTTAGTTTTTTTTAATTCCACGGACGGAGTCGCGGTCGAAAGCTAGTAGTTTCATAAAATCTTTAATAATAGAAAATTTTTGTATAAAAAAAATTCTCTTTCAAACGAAATGATTACCATTGGCATTTCTTTTTTTATAAATGTTATCTAATAGGTATTCTTGCATTGACTTGTATGGATGTCTATTGTTAGTGAAGGCTTGCATACAATAGTCAATATGAAATATGTTCAAATATCCATTCAATCAATCGAAGTTACAGAGATTAAAAGGAAAAAGTATATCAAGATAGAATAGAGATGGAATGCATTGAAATACATACAAATGTATGCACAACCATGCGTAAGGTATTCCATAGCTCCGAACAAAAGAATTAAACGGGATCGTATATAATTTAGAATGAGATATTTGGTTCTAATATTATGAATTCGAAAGTTTAAAAGGATGAATGTTAGTTTGTCGCCTAAACGACTGAGCGGATCTTGTTGAAATTTGGCATAGATATGTAGGATAGAAAGAACACATAGGCTACATTTTATTCTAATTCCCCGCGATGGAGTCGCAGGAGAAAGTTAGTTTAGTTGCAATACTTACTACTAATATTATAAATGCAAAGTAAAGATGTATCGATGGATGGATGGATGTTTATTAGAGTTTATAGCCTAAACGGTTTAACGGATTTCGATGAAATTTTTTATAGATGTACAGGATAGTCTGGAAAAACACAAAGGCTACTTACTTATTTTTTTAATTCCACACCACCGAATTCGTGGGCGAAACCTAGTGTATATAATAATTAAACGAAATATTATACACAATTTTGGATCATTGAAATCAGATTACTAAATTAAATTAAGTATTACATTGTAACGCAACAGAAATTAATCCATTAAAAAACAAAGAATACAAGTTTAAAAACCGGATAAAGTAAAGTTCAAATGTATTATCAAGAATGAATCGTTCATTTCCTTTATGTATTCATTTTCAATTTTTTTTAATGTTTGTTATCAGCGAATAATTCAACACCTAATATTGTATAATTTTCTCATTTACTTTACAAGTTCTATGCCGAGTCTATTTAGTTTTTATATGAATTTAAAATTATCGAATTAATAGAACTGTCTATTTTACAGCCGGTTTTTATGAATCCAATAGACATTGAACTTTAGTCTGCTAAATCAAGAATGATGGAGATTTTTTCAACTAAAATCTTATGTTGACGTAGGTTTTAACAGCATCCAGTGGTAGCGAAAACAATGTTATTGAGTATAGCGTATAATAAATGGCGTCAGTCTAAAATAAATAATATGTGACGTAATTGAAAACTTTTATAAATCATGAATAACATGTCAACTTAGAGCCGGCGCACACCTTTGACTGAACTATCGCACAACTGTTTGGTATGATTTTATATTTAGTTGTGACATTAAACAGTGGAATGGGCTGCGAAACAATCGACAATCGACAATCGCACAACAGTTGTATAATTGTTGAGTCAAAGGTGTACGCCCGCTCTTAGAAAACAAAATGCAATCCTTATGTAACATTTAAAAGTTTCAGAAAAATTACATTCAGTGTAATTGTTGAGACTGAAACGATTTATTCCATGTCTATGTCGATATCTTTTTTATTCATCCCTCTGACTTAACAACAACCCGTTCCCATAGTAACCGCTTACAGTTTTTATATCCAAAGAGTATCAAAATTATAAAACATGTCACAAATTAAAAAGCTAATTATCAAAGAATATTTACAGTATATTTACACGTAACACTATTCTATTCAGTTTCCCTTTCCACTGTTCCTTATGAGGAAAGGATGAGAAGGGAAATACGGTATTACTTCTACTTAAGGCTTATCTTCTTTGTGGTCATGGTATTTAGAGGGTGAGACGGTTCATTCTTGCAACAAATGTTGTCGTTGCTAGCGTCTTGACTAACATTTCGTGGTTGACTGATCTCTTGTGGACAAAATGAAATCACCCAGAGAGATGGGTGCTTACTTACGTCACTGTTTGTAATGATGACTGACTTAACAAGGGTGACGTTTATTTGTTATGTAATTTATAGGACATGCTGCGCCTTTATCTGACATCGTAAGAGCGTATTGTCCCTATACTTACCAACGATGCATTCAGCATTTTAATTTATCATTCAGTTTTTTTGTACGCTAATATAACCTTTATTTCATATAACAATAATGCCTAAAGTACTTTAAAGTACAAAACAAACATTTAATAAAGTCACCATAAGTTTTATTTTGATAGTTATTGAGAAGAGTTTAGTTTGTTTTAGCTAATTATAATTTGTTTGCTTGGCTTTATATCTGTTTGTTCCCATAAAACGGTATGTTTCCGTTCGTTGAATTTCTTTTAGAGAGAATCATTAAGCGAAGAACGATGTGCAATTGTTTTTATGATTCGTGTTACATCGGGTTTATTCTGTCGAAATTCACACAAGAACACACATCTATCTCTGTCATACTCACTAAAAATAATGAGATACCAATATGTTTCTATACAAATGTATAGTCTGTGAAACCCACACTTAAGACGACCGTTTTAATTAAAATATCAAGATATGAAAGTCGTTAAACGAACGAAATTTTTAAATAATGATTCTAAAATATATGTCGCCTTTGAGTGTAAGAAAAAATTAAGTCTATTATTAAAATAAACATTCAATTCCTATTAATAAAGATATATATCCTAGTCTAGAAGTTTCTTGCCTTGACTGCCAAAAATGAATAACTTTTAAAAGCACATTATTTATTACCGCAATTAAATCACTTTATAGTAATTTAATGGTACGCCAGACAAACAGACGTTGCGGTTTTTTATACACAAGTCACGTAGTTCTCTGGAACGTATATTTACAAAACAACTAGTAGAGAATACTAGTGGTGTAACTGTATACAATACACTAAGCTATTTGATGCATGTATGATTCACTGCGCAAGAGTTTAAAATTCTCGACTGTTACCTGTCTGACAGTTGTACGTAATTGACAGGGAAATCTCTAAATCATAGACATACAACGTATGTATAACAAACAACTATACTATCTGGATGTTTTAAGGTAGTTGCTGTTACTGTCCATTATACTAATATTATATTTTTGACCAACTTCCCAAAAGAAGGAGGTACTGAATTCGTTTGTATGTTTTTTTTTGTGTGTGTTACGGCATAACTCCGCCGCTAGTCGACCGATTTTGATAATTCTTTTTAATCTCTGCATCAAATAAAGCTTTTATAGCAATAATATTCATAACATTTCATAACCTAAAATGGGAGCGTGGTCAAGTACTGGTGCATAAATGACTAGCTGTTCCCGTGCGGCTTCATCCGCATGAAATTATGAAAACTTTATTTTATTAACATTTGTTAAATTCTCAATTGAAAATGTCAAAATTACCGTTACCGTAATAATCTTGCTTCCTTAATGTTGGTAGCAT